GCCTGGATGATGTGGGTGCACGGCAACAGTGGGGATTCACTGGGTAGGGAAGGAAAAGTGATGCTCGGGAAAAAGGAGCCGAGGCCAGGGCAGGTGTGAGAGCCCTCCTCCCGGGGCTGCTGACAATGCTAACGAAGCTTACCAAAAACAAACTGGTCACAGATGCTGTGTCAGGAAGAGAAAGGGCAGAGGAGGCCACACCAGCAGCACTGGCCACCCAGGGGCCCAGCCCTTCAAAATGACCTCTGGGCTCAACTGCTGGTAACAACAAAGATGAAACTACCTCCGTAATGACAAACCAATGAAAAGTCAGCTACAGCACACTTGTCCCTTTAACACTTAATTCCGCTTCAGTCACTAGCTACCTACTGGGGAACCCACAGTCCAAGGTCCTGAAACGCATGAGACCCCGGGCCTCAAGGTCCTCATGGGGACTTAGGGATGACCACCACTCAAAACCAGAGGACTCCTGCCCCAGTGTAGTCNAGGCCAGGGCAGGTGCGAGAGCCCTCCTCCCGGGGCTGCTGACAATGCTAACGAAGCTTACCAAAAACAAACTGGTCACAGATGCTGTGTCAGGAAGAGAAAGGGCAGAGGAGGCCACACCAGCAGCACTGGCCACCCAGGGGCCCAGCCCTTCAAAATGACCTCTGGGCTCAACTGCTGGTAACAACAAAGATGAAACTACCTCCGTAATGACAAACCAATGAAAAGTCAGCTACAGCACACTTGTCCCTTTAACACTTAATTCCGCTTCAGTCACTAGCTACCTACTGGGGAACCCACAGTCCAAGGTCCTGAAACGCATGAGACCCCGGGCCTCAAGGTCCTCATGGGGACTTAGGGATGACAACCACTCAAAACCAGAGGACTCCTGCCCCAGTGTAGTCACCCACAAGGATTCTAAACTTAGAAAAATTCAGGTAACTAAAGTACAACTCCTCCTGATCTTTTTCATATGGGAAAAAAGGGGCCAGGGACAAGATTTTAACTTTGCTTTCAGAAGATCAAAAGTCCTAGCAACCTTGGCCTGTAAGCGGAAGGCTCTGGTTCACTAGCTATTCTAACAATTGCGGACTAGTTTTAGTACCCATGTGCTTGAAATAAACTCCTTCAATGTATACTTTTTAATTATAAATCAATACAAAATACACTGCTTCTAAGCCCCTTTACCCCTACCCCACCCCCAAGACCATGCAGCAGCAGACACACAATGTTTTTGGTGCATCGTCAGTGAAATAAAGAGCAGTTTGCAAATATCATGATATGACACCACCTTCGTACCATGTGCACAGAACAATGCAACATCTTAAAAATTGTCGGTTGGAATTAAACTTGCTTTTTCAGTCTTATAAATTTTCTGAGTTTTTTTATACTGAACATGTATCACCTTCAAAATTAGAAAACAATTATAAAGAAACCAAATTTTATATTACTTTTTACAAAATCTTTCAATGTCAACATTCAGAAGCCCCCTTTGTGTGGTGGATCTCAGTCTGTCCCCCCTCCCCCCCCTCCCCCGGAGGTTTAGAAGCCTGCTCGCCATCACCTGGATGCATAGCTTCAGGTAAAGCAAGAG